TATATATTTTTAGTTGTCCAGATCATTTCTTTATATTTTTAGTAGAGACGGGGTCTCGCTCTTGCTCAGGCTGGTCTCGAACTCGTGAGCTCAAGCAATCCGCCCACCTCGGCCTCCCAGAGTGCTAGGATTACAGGCGTGAGCCACCACGCCCGGCCTGTCACCTGTACTTTAAACAGCAAGTCTTCCAGGGGCTTCCTCTCAAGACACTATCTAAGTCTCTTAACCTTGCTTCAAACCTTATGTAGTCTCAGCCCTGGTCACCTTAAACCTCACTGCCCTCCTCCCTTGGGTGCAAATCAGAGCCCCACACAGTCTTGGGTCTGGTCTCCCCGCACCTGCTTCCAGCCCCTCGTCTGGGTTCCTCAGCCATCCCCACAGTTCCCTGGGGGCCTTTCCTGACTCCCTTCCATGGCCACCCTGCTAATGTCACTCTTTGATCACAATTTCTACTAAGAACCACAGCTCTATGTACCATCCATTTAATAGCTTTTCAGGAAATACACATATGAAGCGAGACTCAGCCTGAATTTAGAAACATTAAAGTGTGGGAAGTGCATCACAGAATTAGGAAATCACATTATCTGTGTCTGTGAATGTGCGTGCATATGGATGTTTCCGTGTGCCAGCTGTCCACCAGCCCAGACTGAGCTCTAAGAGGGCTGGGACTGGGTTTGCCATGTTCTTACCCAGTGAATGATGGGATTTCTCTGGCTGGGTTATGGGAACAACAATGTTCTTGTCTTTTTGGACAAGGCTGGTGGGGAGGTAGGGCTAATCTGACTGCTGTTTCCTACAGAGCAAAGATGGGGAGATCAAGAAAGCTGGCTCAGATGGTAAGTGGGACCCTGGGGCAGGGCAGTACAGTTTGGGAGAGAGGGGTGTCCTCAGAGATAGTCCCCAAGGTCCTTGCTTTCCTGGGGGAAGAAGGGGAGAGGCCATCTCTTCCCTCACCTCGAAGTCTGGTGCCTGAGCCCTCACCCTCACCTTGCAGGTGACATCATGGACAGTTCCACGGAGACCCCTCCCATCTCAATCAAGTCCCGTACCCACTCTGTGTCTGCCGGTGAGTGAGGGCCACTGTGTGTTGGGGAAGGGATCAGACTATTGTGCAGACCCCTCTCCAAGGCCTGGCCCAGGTGCTGGCTGACATCCTTCTCCTTGCAGACCCCTCGTGTAGACCTGGCCCAGGGGGGCAAGGGCCTGAGTCCACCTGGAAGACACTGGGGCAGCAGTTGAATGCAGAGCTCAGGGGCCGTGGTTGGGGCCAACAGGATGGTCCAGGCCCTCCCTCCCCTTGTCAAAGCCCAAGTCCCCGAAGAGCCAGCCCCTCCCCAGACAGCCTGGGCCTCCCGGAAGAGCCTTGCTTGGGTCCCAGGAATGAAGGTAGGCACCTGAGATTCCTCTTCCCCAATCCTGGGCTGGAGACTGGAGGAGTCCCTGACGGGAACACAGCTCCTCTAGGGACCCTGATAGTGGGAGGCAAGGGCTGGAGTGGGGGCAGCCGTTGGGACCATCCCCTGATATCCTGGCCTCCCCCAGATGGCCAGCTGAGGCCGCGGCCTCTCTCGGCTGGGCGACGAGCAGTGTCTGTGCATGAGGACCAGCTCCAGGCCCCTGCTGGTGAGGGAGACACCTTCACTTGTGCTTGAGTGCAGGAGATGGGGGAGGGTGGGATTCTGGGGCCCCTGTCAAGGCTTTGGTCCTTGGAAGGGACCACCAGTGGTATGAGGGCTTGAGAAATCAGGGAGCCAGAAGGCCAGGAGCAGGGGTTTGACAACAGGCCCCTCCTACTGGCCCTGGCTCCCTGGGTGAGAGGATGCAGGGACAGGGGATACGCAAGGCAACCGTGTGTGCGCACATGCTTGCGTGCACTGGAGGTGGAGGACGGGTCAGGGATGGACAGACAGCAATCCCTTAGCAACGTACCCCAAGCCTTTTTATGTCCCTCAGAGCGGCCCCTGCGACTACAGCGTTCCCCCGTCCTCAAACGCAGGCCGAAGCTCGAGACACCCCCATCCCCAAGCCTAGGTAAGAGGGAGTCAGGGCTAGTTGGGGAGGGTGGGAGGAGGGCTTAGCCAAGGCCTGACCTTTCCTCTCCCCTCGCAGGATCTGGCCTTGGAACACAGCCTCTGCCCCCACAGCCCACAGAGCCCTCCAGCCCTGAGCGGAGCCCATCCTCCCCAGCCACAGACCAAAGAGACGGCGGCCCCAACCCCTGATCCTCTCCTGCCGCATGAGATTATTTTATTAAAAAACTCGAAGCAGAGTGTGTAGCACTATTTGTCCACCCCCAGGCATGGATCTGAGTGTGCACATCCTCCAGTGTGCCTGCATAACCCTCACACCTGGGTCACCTCTGACACCGGCTGTGACTCCATCAGAAAGTTCAAGGCCCAGGCCACAAGCTGGGGAGGAAGCCTGGGAAGAAACCATGGCTGTAGGTCAACGTAGCCAAGGACTGGTAACCCACAGAGTGGGGAAGCCCCAGGCACTCACCTGGCAGCTTGGACCTGGGCACAGAGGGAGGTGCAGGGTGGCTCATATTTGTACTGGAAGGCAGAACCATCACGATGCGTCTTTGGGGGTTCCTGAAAGGGGTTTGCTGTCCGGGAAGGGACTAACAAGGACCCTTAGCCCCATCCAAGGCTATCCCTGCCCCCTCCCAGCTCTACCCAAGGCCTTCCCCATTCTACCCTCCAGTTGTGCAGAGTTGTGCTCACCCAGACAGGGCAGGGCTCCTGGACACCCTTGATGGCTCTGGTCCTTGGAGAAGGCTGCCTATTCTTGGGGGGCAACCCCAGCTCCTTGAATTCCAGGCCAGGTTTCTGGGCCGTGGTCACATGGGCCTTGTGTGGACTAGAGACATGGCCAAGGGGCAAGAGACTAGGGGTGCAGCTCTGGAGTAGAGAGTTGCATGTACGGCTGGGGTTTGGGGAGCTGGGGGGCAGGGGGCCTGGGGCTGAGCAGATGGCTGGTAGGGGCTGGAAGCTGCCCCTCTGTGTAGGGTCTAGAGCATCCAAGGACAGGGCAGGCAGAAGACTGATGCTGGCACCACTTTCTTCTGCTGGCGTGTGGCCGGATAATGCAGGGGTTCCTGGGGAGAAAGGGCTTCACTGTGAGCACAGCCCACTCACTTCAGACCAGCTGAGCAGCCTGTGAACTTGGGCAGGACTACAGGGACCGTGTTCATCCCCCACCCACTGTGCACGATTTCACAGCATCCTGTGCAGCCAGGAACCTGACTGATAGGAGTGGCCTGAGCACCACCTCACCTGAGGAACTGGGTGAGGAAGAAGGAGAGCTCAGGGTCAGAGATAGGTCCTGCAGAGCTGGCTCTGGTGGGGGCAGCTCAGGGCCTGGGGGTTCAGGGAAGGCTTATCAGCACAGTGGACCTTGGGCCTCAGGTACCCCCAGGACCTCTTTAGTCCCTCTTACCCTGTTGCCTCTGACCAGAGCCCAGAGAGCTGAGAATTAGCTGGTCATTCTCGGAGATGTGCAGCAATAAGCCGGGAACAGTGTACATGGTTTCTTCCTGTGGGATATAAATTCTCAGCCCAGCCCTTTCCCAACCCTTCACCCTGACATCTCCCAATGGAAGTCCCAGACTGACCGTGGCCCCACAGCGTAAGGCAGCCCAGCGGGTGAGAGGGGGTGCTGTGCAAGGACCTGCCAGCTGCAGGCAGCTCTCAGCCAGACGCACTAGCGCCCCTTGATGCTCCTGGTCTTCCTGTACCTCATTCAGAAGCTGGGATAGTGATAGGCCTGGGGGCAGGGGATCAGGGGATGGGTGCAGGTTCAAAGAGGAGAAGGGGAGGGTGGGAGGTAGGAGAGCTTATGGGAAAGCAGGAGGTTAAGGCTAGAGAGATAATTCCACAGGGAATTTGGGTCACTAGTCAACCCCTACCATTACCTGCACTGGGGGTGGTAGACTCTGAAAGGTGCTCCCTACAGGAACAGAGCAGACAGGCTTCAGGAACCATCCTGAGGCCTGTCTACCCAGATTTGCCATCCCCTGATCAGACCACACTTGGCCCCAGAGCCCAAACCCAGACTCACTCAAGGCAGTCACAGAGCTTTCTCTGAACAGCCAAGTCCTGGTTGCTGGAGAAAAGAGAAGGGTGGTAGGCAGTCATGTTACCCAGGGCCCAAGGCCTCTCTCCCTAAAGGCCCATACCAACACCAGCCAGGCCTGGGTGGGGAGGGCTGTTGGAGAATAGAGGCATCACTTACCAACCAGTCACCCGCACCCGGGGCTGCTCCGTGGGCAGCAGACTGAAATGGTCCACCTGGAGATAGAATTCTGCGGACTGGAGGAGTGAGTTCAGGAGGGGGAGGTCTCAGGAGTTTTCACTAAGAGCCAATCCCAGTTTCCTGCCCAAGCCAGCCTCACCACTCACCGCGCTGCCTTCAGCGACCTGGACGCGCACCCCGCAGTCCCGCAGCAGCAGCAGCCGGCCCTCCAATCCGCAGAAACCGAACTCCTTCTCCTCCCTGCGGCGAGAACGATCCTCTTAACCTGGCCCGCTGGAACACAAGCCTCGCCCCCTCCTCGGGCTCAAATTTCGCGCTCTCCCGCGGGACTCCAATCTCCCAGAGTCCCGCAGAGCCTCTCTCACCAGTCTGAGGTATTCAAGGCCTCCCGCGTCACCAGGCATCGGATACTGTGGGTCCCATCGGAAACAAGCAGCATGGCCCCGACGTCAGACGCGTCAGGGGCGCTGGACGGGCCTGGAGCCTCGGCCTCCTGCAGGACCTGATAGCGGAGACCGGCGTCAACCCCCCTCCCCCACCGTGGGCCTCCGCCTCGGTCTCCGGGCCCGGGGTGGGGACTCACCTCGAGTAGCTGCCCAGCCCGTGGACTTGAGAGTGCCTCTGACCCCAGAATAAGCTCTCGAATCCAGGGCCGCAGGACCAGGATCCCTACGCGTGCCATTCCCCGCGGCGGCACCTAGCGGGACACAGCACGCCCAGGTTTCCCGCGGGCGCCGCGGCCCCGCCTCTAGTCGGAAGAGGAAGCGCGTGACGGTTGGGCGGGACCAGAGGCTGAGGCCCCACCCCTGTGTGTGTCCGCGCGTGCGCGCGCCAGCGCCTTGTTTGGGAGCGGGTGTGCTGAGTCCTGCTTGGTCGGCTGGCCGTCACTCCGAACAGTGGCCAGGCGTTTGGGCCTTTCGTAGAGACTCCCGTGGGATCGGGAAGGAAGGGAACAAGGGCTGGGCCAGATGGAGAGGGATCCGGGGCCGGAGGCTGTGGTCAGGTGTGGTCCAAGCGAGTTGGCTCCAAGTCACTTATGCGCCGTGTGACCCCGAGGGATTCAGCAAACATTTATTATGACTCCGTTTCCTTATCTACAAAATACGCGGTCTTCTGAGGCCAGTGGAAAAAACACCACACAGCGCTCAATAAATGTTACTTCCCTCACTCTTCCCTCGGATTGGCAGAGCCCCTAGTCCTCCGGACTCCGGGGAAGCGCCGATCATAGCGTAATGACGTCAGAGCTGAGGAAGGCTCTTCTCCAACCCACCTCCGTTTCCTAGGAAACGTGTACTCCGCGTACCACTTTACGTCGCTGCCCTCTTGACGTCATGGTCCGGACGGGGGGGTGGGGCGAGTGCTACCGTCAGGGGCTGGATGGGGCGGCGCCGGCGGGCCGGCCGGGCTGTGCACCTGCGCCTAGGCGGGCCGCCTGGGGCACCGTCCCAGGCCCGCCCGGCCCCGCCATGGCCAGGCCGCAGAGGACTCCGGCGCGCAGTCCCGACAGCATCATCGAGGTGAAGAGCAAAGTAAGGGCCCCTCCGGCCCCGGACTCGGCACTCCCAATTCCCTTTCTCCCCTTCCCGACTCCTTGGTCCCCACCACCTCTTTCCTCCATCCTCCGCGTCCCATTCTCCTCTTCTGCTTGCCTTCCTCCATCCATCCTCCTTCCTTCCACTGCTGGCCTCCAGAGTCCCTCTGTAGCCTGGGTACCTGGAGGGCGGGGAGAAGACCTTGCCCTTGTACTGTAGCTGAGGTCTGGGCTTAAGCCTTAAGCTTTTGCAGTATCCCTTTTTCCCACCCCTGCCAGCCTCCGACCTGTGGTGAGAAAAGGACGCAGGTTCTGTCCTGACCCCTCCTCTCCCCCCACCCCTGGTCTCCAGTTTGACGCTGAGTTCCGACGCTTCGCGCTGCCCCGCGCTTCACTGAGCGGCTTCCAGGAGTTCTCGCGGTTGCTGCGTGCCGTGCACCAGATTCCAGGCCTGGACGTGCTACTTGGGTATACGGATGCTCACGGCGACCTGCTACCCCTCACCAACGACGACAGCCTGCACCGGGCCCTGGCCAGCGGGCCCCCGCCACTGCGCCTACTGGTGCAGAAGCGGGGTGAGAAGGATGGGATACAGTGGGCAGCCTCTGTGGGTAAGGTGATGGGGCAGGTCTACAAGGGTTAGCCTATGTGCACGGTGCCCAAGCTTCACCCTCTGCAGTCCCTGCCCTTGGCCTGACCTCCAAGTGGTAGGAAATAGCTACAGTGCCCCCTGTAAAGGGCCCAAGTGGGAGAGCAGGGTCTCTGATCTCAGCACCTCCCTCTCCTGCAGCAGAAGCTGACTCCAGCGGCCTGGCTTTTGCCTCCAACTCTCTGCAGCGGCGGAAGAAAGGGCTCCTGCTGCGGCCAGTGGCACCCCTGCGCACCCGGCCACCCCTACTAATCAGCCTGCCCCAAGATTTCCGCCAGGTTTCCTCAGTCATAGACGTGGACCTACTGCCTGAGACCCACCGACGGGTGCGACTGCACAAGCATGGTTCAGACCGCCCCTTGGGCTTCTACATCAGAGATGGCGTGAGTGTGCGCGTGGCTCCCCAGGGCCTGGAGCGGGTTCCAGGCATCTTCATATCCCGCCTGGTACGTGGGGGCCTGGCTGAGAGTACAGGGCTGCTGGCAGTCAGTGATGAGATCCTTGAGGTCAATGGCATTGAGGTGGCTGGGAAGACCCTGGACCAAGTGACGGACATGATGGTGGCCAACAGCCATAACCTCATTGTCACTGTCAAGCCTGCCAACCAGCGCAATAATGTGGTGCGTGGGGCATCTGAGCGTCGCACAAGGCGTCCCTCTGCAGGGCCTGGGCCTGCTGAGCCTGACAGCGATGAAGACAGCAGTGACCTGGTCATTGAGAACCGCCATCCTCCCTGTTCCAATGGGCTGTCTCAGGGGCCCCCATGCTGGGACCTGCACCCTGGCTGCCTACCTCCTGGTGCCTGCAGCTCTCTGCCCTCCCTGGATGACCAGGAGCAGGCCAATTCTGGCTGGGGGAGTAGCATGCGAGGAGATGGTGGTGGTTTCAGCCTCTGACAGGCAAGGATGCAGCCCCTTGCTACTCCAGGCTGCTGGAACATGGCATGGACTTCACAGTGGGAGTTTTTAGCTTGCTCACAGGGCTCTCTCAGCAAGGGGAACATTAAAGGTTTTCTATAAATGCAAGTGATGGCATTTCTGTGTCCAAACCCCAGCCTCCTCTTAGCCTACAAGCTTGCCTTCTGCTCTGGACATGAGGCAAGAGTGATAACAGGGAGACCTTCCTGCAGTCAAAAAGCATTTCTAGGGTAAGAAAAGCTCTTACGGAAACAAACCCCACTGTGTACAAAAGGTTTAATTTTGACAAAAGCGTGAAAAGGCTGGGATGGCCCTTCTGCAGCCACTGGTGGCTGGGAAGAGTGCTCTGGGGATATTGCCCACCACACCGCTCCTGTCTTTGGACCTCTGCTCTATGATATGGCCCGACCCTGCCCTTTGCAGTCATGTGGTGATCCTCCTCAAAGACCTTCCTGCCACTACCCCCACAAAAGGGCTCAGGCATCCATCTTCACAAAGACTTTGGGTCGGGAAAAGATCTTGATGGCCTCTTCTACCTGCATCAGCTTCCGGTCCAACTCAGCACGGTGGCCCTGGGCTCTCAGTGAGTCTGCCCCAGCAGGCAGCACTATCAGCTCACGCAGCAGCTGGCTCTGGCCTACAAGGGACCCAGGAACAGTGAGTACTGGGCAGGGGTGTGCGGTCTCTAGTGGGCTCCCCAGCCAGCCCCCTCGTCTAAGTACTCACTCTGGAGCAGTTTGCTCAGCGTCTCCAGTCGCTCGTTCTCAGGCATGCGAGTGTGGCCAGGGGGCATGGCAGGGTCTGGCTGCCTATGCTGGCGGGCCTCAGCCTCCTGTCGCCACAGATCCTTGCGCTCCAACAAGCTGTGGATGCACACACTCAGGGTTGATGACCCCAGGGCAGAGGTTGGCTCCTACCCCCACAGGTGTGCCTCACCCTGGGTTTGGGTAGTGGCACCTACTAACGGGGCACGTGGCCCTTCTGTGTGGCATTGTAGTGCTCCTGGGCTTGCCGTTGCTGCTCCAGCACCTGTGCAAGGACCTGCAGCGAGCGGGAATGCCGCCGGGGGGCCTTCTTGGCAGCTTGGACATTGTGACTAATGAAGTCCACACCTGGACCTGGCCCCTGCAAGACATGGCAAACACGATGGGGGGCAGACAGCACTGTGTTATGCTCCTGCACCCCTGCCCACCAGGATCCCTGTCCCCACACATCCTCTCACCTTAGCTTTAGGACCTGGTGGGGTTAGCTGGGGACCAGGGACACGGGGCGGTGGGAGCCCAGGTCCGCAACGGGAGTGGGCCCGCAGGAAGTGGGTAGACTCTGTCCCAGAGGCAGGGCCAGGCTTCTGGAGGGTAGGGCACAGCAGAGAGATAAGTCAGGCTGAATTCAGAGTCTCAAGCCACAAGACCATATCTCTGTCTCTCCTGTCCCTTAGGACCTTTTCTTTTGAGACAGGGTCTTGCTCTGTTGCTGGGGCTACAGTGCAGTGGCATCATCATAGCTCACCGCAACCTCCAATTCCTGGGCTCAAGCCATCCCTCAGGACCTTTCTATCCCTATCCCACAGGCTCTTCTCTCTTGAAGGAGTACTTCCCATCAGCACATAAACACGTGTGAGGCTCTCACATCTTTAAGAAAACAAATCACCTCTTCTACTTCAGTCATGGTCCAGCCAAGTTTCCTGGCTCTAGCCTCACCCCCAAGTTTCCCGACAGTTGGCCTCCAAGCCTTGATATCCAGGGGGCCACTTCCTTGGTCTCACTGTCCTCAACCTGATTGTAACTCCTGGATCTCACTCCTGAAATCCAGACCCAAATATCCATCCATTTCCTGGACACACTCCCACCCCCTGCAGACCCACAAATGCTTCTGCCTCAACTCATCCACGCATTCCCTCATCTTTTCTCACTCCTGCTCCTCCTGAGTCCTGGATAAAGGAATGGTGCCACTATATACCCAAGACAGAACCCTTCCCCAGTATCCCCCCCTGCCCTTCCCATTGTCCTTTATTTCAACCAATAAAGGTTGAAAAGTGGCTTATGTGACCCTTTAGGTGGTCCAGCTGACTTCTTGGCCTAACCTCGTGCTCTTCTCCCCTCACAGTGAACAGTACCTAACATCCCCACTGCCCACATTCTCACTGGTCTCAGGACTTCTACCTGTGAGGGTCCATTTCTATGAAATGTTCTCTTCAATTCTTCCCTTGACTAATTCCTACTTGCCATTCAGGATCAGCCCAGCCATCGCCAATTCTAAGGCGGACTCCCAACCCTACCCTGCAGCAGAGTTAGGTATCTCTTAGTCCTCTGTGATGTTCCTCCCTCCCCATAACCGAAATCAGGGTATTAACTGCCTGTTGGCCAACAAGATAGACAATATTTCTGGCTCCCCAAGGCAGGTACCTGCAGCTGGGCCTTGACCTGGGACTCCACCTTGTCGTACTTGGGTGAGCGCCACAAAGCCTTCAGGGGCCTGGGCTGGCCCTGCTCACGGCTTTGCTCCTGCTCTCTGAAGCGCCTCTGGATCTCCCTGATCCGCCTCAGGTTCTCCTTCTCATGGTCCTTAGGGCCTTTCCCTGGGGAAAAGAAGCTGCCAGGCTCTGCCCTGCATATGAATCATACAACCCACCTTACAGCAGTTCACATACAGGCCCACACCCTGCCCTCTACAGAAAGAGCTCCTGGATACCTCCATCTAAGTTAGACCCTAACACACACTCTACCTCATCACTTTGTTCCCTTCCTTACATAGTAAATATCTCCTGATTATTTTCTACATTTTATAGTAAAGTAGACCATTCATCAAATCGTATACTATATTCATCTCTTTACTTGTTTACTGTTTCCCACATTGACCCAATGATGCCCATACTTATCTTCAACCCATTTTCCTAGCACCTATGGGCCTGGCACGCAGTAGGCACCCAATAGACGTTTCACAGACACACAAATGCATGAAGCAGAGCAAGCACTTGGTGGGGACTTCATTTAGTCCACTCCTGCCAGGAAGTAGTACAATTTCTCCTCCTTTTATAGTTGGGGAGACTGAGATGCAGACAAAGCCTGTGCCCAAGTCAGGGAAGAAGGAACAGCTGCTTTTGATCTCAGCTTTTCACCTCCAACTGCTTCGCTGCCCTTTGTCCCAGGGACTTACTCTTGAGAGAAGGCCCTGGACCTAGGGAGATGTCCCCGAGTTGCAATAGCACGCCAATAACGCCACGCCGGCCGTGCTCCAGGATCTCTCGGGCTCCGGGACCGATGCGCGGGCCACGGGGCGGGATGGCGTCCAGGTCCCGGTCCGAGGTCAGCAGGTCTAGCTTCAGCGCATTTCCTTCAAGGCGCCCTTGGGCTGTGGGGCCGGGCGGAGTGTGGCGCTCAGGGATGGAGTAGGGGCCGATACCCCAACCTCGCACCACCCCGCAACTCACCTGAGGCCGGCCGCCGGTAGTAGTCAGGGCAGAGCGTAGGGTCTGGGGGGATGGGCCCCGAGATGCGGGACGGGCCCTCGCACATGTCGCGCCCTGTAGCAGTGCACCGAGACCTGCCGGGCTGCACGCCTCCCACCCCGGATCCCCTTCCCCAGCCCCACGCCTCCTCCCTGGACCTGGACCCGGACCCGTGCCTTCCATTCCCCGTCCCCTCCTGCCCTCGGGCTAGAGCCTGCACTCGCCGCCTCCGACCCCAGCCCACCACCCTTCCCGCTCGCGGCCCCTCCCCCGCAACGCTCGGGCAGGGTCTCACTTGAACAGCTTTGCCGCCAACGACGAGTTGTTGCCAGGCAACACTGGCTTCCGTCCGGAGGTCAGGGGTTACTAACCCTGGCGCAAAGCCTTCTGGGGCTTGCAGTTCAGCTGAGGTTGGAGGAGCAGCCGCCAGTCTCTCTTCCCAACTGGACCATCACCTTCCCTCCCAGCCAGTCTCCCGGGTCAGCGCGGGAGGTCACGGGTCCAGCCCCTCGGGGCCCGCCGTGCCCCCTAAGTAGCTGTCGAGGATGCACTGACTCCGCGCTGCCATGGCCTCAGCAGGGCCCGAGAGGCAGCCAGGGGCTCAGGAGGCTGTGGGGCCAGCACAGCTCGCAGAGGCGCCCGGTGGCCACGCTCAGACCTCTGAGGTGACCGTCAGACTGTCAAGCCTTCAAACACTTGTCGGCAGTGCTCTGGGGGGCCGAACTCTAACTGCCAAGCTGGGCTCTACAGGCGGGAGGGGTGTGGTCTGGTGCCCTTTATTCAGTGTTTGATGTCTAATGGGCATTCAATGACTGATCCCTATATCCTTTGCCTGGCCATGGTGACAAGTTACCTATGTGTCACCTCTAGTGTTCAGTGATGGGAGACCAGTGCCTGGTGCCAGCCCATGAAGCCCGCCAGACCCAGCGTGAGGACAAGTGTCCAACAGGAGCAGCCTCAGAGCCAGAGCTCCAGGAGGGACTCAAGCTGGAGGAAGAAAGGCTCAAGCCAGAGGTGGTGGCACTAGAGGAGAGAGGCCCCAGGCCTATGGTCTCCCATGTGAGGCCCAGCCATGGTCCCAAGAGGAAACCAGTCAAGTAAGGGGGCTTTCAGAAGGAAGGAGCTACAGGCGGGGGTGGGGCTCACAGGGCAGTAGGATGCCTAAATCCTGAACTCCTGCAGGACAGATTCTTGTCCCTGGCCACTACCACTATTACACGGTCTTGCTCTATTGCCTGGTCACTCTCCACCCCTTCTGTTCCTCAAGAGCTGTGTAGGGGGCACCAAGAGAGATGTAGCCTCAAGGTCTTATAGGGGACTGAGCTCACATGAGCTCTGGGCTGCTGTTGGGCTTGGCCCCTCATCATTGACTAGGAAAGGGACAGGTATCTAGCCACAGGATGGTGGGCAGGCAGGGCTATCCCCTGGGCTCAGGGCACAGGAGCCAGGGGCTGAAGGCTGGTTCCTCAGGCCTCTTGTCCCTGGCTCTGGTCCCTCAGCCTTCCAAGGCCTAGCCACCATGCCCATCCTAGGACTGAAGCTGAGCTGCCACCTGGGCTGCCACTGCAGAAGGAGGAGCCAGAGGGCAGCCAGGGCGAACCTTCACCATCTGCCAAACAGCACAAAAAAGCCAAAAAGCGCAAGAGTCTGGGGGCTCCTGTGCTCCCAGCTGTGGCCAGCACAGTGTCTGCACCCTCGGAGACCTTGGGCCTGGAGCGTGAGTGACAGTCCCTGGGCCTTCCCTTCTCCTACTGCCTGCTGGGCCCGAGATGGCACAACCCAGTGCTCCAGCCCCTGCTCTGCCCCGGTCGTCCTTGCAGGAAAGGCTCAGCGCCTGCGGCCCCTGTACCAGTACATCAACTATTGCAACCCTGAGCTGAACCAGGCAGGGGAGGGGGACGGGGAGGCTGAGGTCGAGGTGGAGGCCGAGTCTGAGCTGGCCCTGGTTCCTGAGGAGGCAGGTGTGGAGCAACTGCAGGCCTTGTTGCCCATGGCAGGTGAGCTGGGCTCAGGCCTCGCTTTGCCCTGCCCCGGTACATTAGTGCCCCCCACCCATGCTCTGGCTTCCCCAGGAGAGGAGGCTGGAGAGGAGCCTGGGGGTTTGTCCAGCCTTGGGGTGAGTGGCTGCCTCAAAGCCGAGGTGGATAAGTCAACCCAGGTGGACATCGACAAGATGCTGAGTGTCTGTGCTGCTCCACTTGTCCCTCCCCTCTCTCCTCAGTACAAGTGACTGTCCCACCCCACTGATGGCTCCCCTCCCAAGCCTGAACCAGGGCAGCCATCTCTATGGACCTAGGCCCTCAGGAGGAAGGTGGGGGAATTAGGCACCTGCCCCTGCTTGGGACCTTGGGCTCATTGGAAATAAACATTTTTCCTTTTCTAAGCTTTGTGATTCCTCAAATATGATGCCTGAATTGGGAAAGAGGCTGGGAAGAAGGGTGGACTCATCAGCGCAGGAGTTGAAGGCTGACTGGTCATCTGGATCACCAGGACCTTGACAAATTACAGATTCCTGGGTACCACCTCAGACCTAAGTGAATCAGCAGTGGGGGTGGGGCAGGGATGGGGCCTGGTTCTGTGTGTTTAAAGGCTTCCAGATGAATCTGGGAGGTGAGGAGGAAGAACTTGGGGGCAGAGAAAAGAAAGGGTCTGTCAGGTCATGGGAAGCAGGGGTTTGGTCCTGCTCCATCTCCCAGGAAGGAGACCTGCATTTGGTCTGGTCTCGAGAGAACCAACACTTGGGATCCCCCCTCTGAGGTGGTAGAGTTCATTTGCCTGTCCCAAGAGTGGTAGCTTTGGAATGTTTTCCACTCATTGCCAGACCACAGCTGGACCAGACCTTGTTCATGGAATAGCCCCTAGTAACAGAGCGTCAGTGACTTTTTCCTGGCAGGCAGGGGGTGGTGGTAGCAGTGAATATATTCCCTGGAGCCCAGTGGCCAGGCCACTGGAGGACTTCTGCTGCCAGCCCTCAGGAGTCTGGGAAGAGCCGGCCAGTGCTGGCTGCTTGGGAAACCCTCACATCTTGCTGCCTCCTGGGCCTCCTGCGTATCCCTCGGACACCTCAAACATAGGGAATTCCAAATTCAGTGGATGATTTTCCCTCCTTCTGACCTGCTTTTCCTCCTGTATCTCATCTACACAATTGTTCAGTAAGAATCCTGAGTGTTACCCCAGACCCAACTTGTTCTTTGTTCCCTTATTCCTAAAAGCTAATCAGGCATCAAGACCAATGAGTCCACCCTCTCAGGCCAAGAACCTCTACATCCCAATCAGCACCCTTGCCTGGGCCACTGTCATCTCCAGGCTGAGCCTCACTTGTCTCCCTGCCTGTGGTCCCCAGCCCACCAATCCATCCTGTGGCCCTGCTAAACATACACACCTGAACCCCTGATGGTGTCACTCCCCCTCTGATACCCTGTTTCTCTTGCCCTAGCTGACTTAGAACTTTTCAGCAGCTTCCTGTAATTTCCTGACCAACCAGCCATGCCTTTTTTTTTTTTTTCCCTTTTCTTTTCTTTTTTAGAGACAAGGTCTTGCTCTATTGCCCAGGCTGGAGTGCAGTGGCATGATCATAGCTCACTGTAGCCTTGAACTCCTGGGCTCACGCGATTTGCCTGCCTCAGCCTTCCCAGTAGCTAGTATTATAGATATGTGCCACCATGCCCAGCTAATTTTTTAATTTATATTTTGTAAGGGCAGGGGTCTCGTTATGTTACCCAGGCTGGTCTTGAACTCTAGCCTCAAGCTATCCTCCTGCCTTGGCCTCCCAAAGTGCTAGGATTACAGATGTGAGCCACTGCACCCAGCCAAGCTACAACTTTTCTTACCTTGACTCTCTGCACATGGGGCTTCCCTTGCCTAAAATGCCTCTAATTCCCTCACTCCTCCACCTGGCTAGTGCACACATGCCCTTGAAAACTCGGGGCACCCTGCTTGCCACTGAGCCAGGCAACACCCATTCTTGCCCTGCATTGTAGCATCTACATGCTACTGTCTGTCAGGTAGGTTAGAACCGTCTTTGGGACTAGACTGTGGACTCCCCAAGGGCACATCATTGTATCGCATCCACCTGAAAGCCCCCATAAAAGGCACCAAAGTAAGGTGACCAAAGTGAGGGGTGGAGGAAGCTACAGAGAGGGATAGGTCAGGATCTGAAAGGCTGAGGCCACCCAAAGTCCACAATCATGTGTGGGGTCCCTGGAATAGTGGCCTGGCAAGGTCACTGGAGGGAGTGGGATGGGCAGGTCCAGGTGGCAGCAGTAGGATGAAAATGGACATAGTCTCAGGCTGCTCTCTCCTTTGAAGGGTCACTCAGATGCTCACTGGCCCCAAGACAAGCATAGGGTGAGGACATTTATTCCTTTCTGCCTACAAACTTCCCTGGGTAGTGATTTGACCACTCTAGGCGATACTGTCCACAGGGGCCATGCAGAAAGAACTGGTCTACAGATCCTGAGGTCTATTACCCAATGGGCTTGTCTAAGCACAGTGGGTAATAGAAGCCGCAGGAAGGAACAAGTCACTACTGCTCCTATGAGCTCACTCTAAGGGGGAAATGCCGAGGCAGCACGATTCAAGGAGACATGTGAGACCAAGGACCAAGGCGGTGGGACCACGGGAGGTGGAAGTGGCTGCCACTTCACCTAGGGGAGAAGTGGTGACCAGGCAGCCCTCCAGGTAACTCCTGGAGACATGTCAGGGATGAAGCCCTGCTGGTGTGGAAGATGCCTTAGTGTGGCTGAGGCAGAAGGCATGGCCATCAGGCCAGGTGAGGCAAGTCTGGGGCGATGAGGCTTGTAGAAAGGGAGGGATTTTGGCCTGACGTTTTGGAGGGGTCACTGGGGCAGCAGTGTGAAGGGCAGATGGGGAATGGGGACACGGGGGACAAGGAGGTAAGAAAGCAGCTGCCACTGTCTAGGTGAGAACAAGGCCTAGATTTGGCTGGAGGCTGAAGAATAAGCAACAGGCATTTTGGAAGTTTTCTTTGGGTTGCTGTATCATGGGGGAGAAGTTAACTGCATTTTCACTGGCCTATAAAAACTTTACTTTGACCCCAGGAAGAGTTGGTAGCACCCCGAGATTTGGGAAACAGGTCCTGGGAGATGCTGCTGCCTACCTCCAGGAGGGGGAGCTGCAGGACAAGCCTGGGACCAAGTTGCAGGTTCCACCATCCCTAGGGAACAGAACTCTTCCAGCTTCTTTGGCCACATGCATCTGGGTACATCTCTCCTCCCCATTCCTGACGTGTGACCAACCGGCTCTGATGCCCAAGAGACATATGATGGTAAAGACGTCTGAGGGATAGGGGGTGATACACACCTCTGGCCATGGATCTAGGCTCTGGGGTTGAGGGTACCCTCAGAGAACCTGGGGTCCTCATAAAAATGGCTCTGCACTAAGCCCACTGCAATCTGCCCCAATACTTCTGGGAATCTGTCTTTGTCAACAGCAAAGTCCTCTAAAACCTAAGTGCCACTCTGGGTCAGCAACATGGCTTTCTTATGTGGGAGCATCTGAACCAGGATTGTGCTTTCTCGATCAATTCCCAAATTTAGAAGGGACACCGACATTCTCATAACACATGAAGGACTGACCTGGAGCTGAGCTGAGCTGAGCTGACTGTCCCAGGGACAAAGGGGCAGCCTCTTCTTTAACTGTCAGTGTCCTGATTGGTTGGTGGGTGCTCTCTGCAGTTCACCTCCTAGTTCAGGCCAGGTTGAGATTCCTGCTGCAAAGAGGGGTGATGTCCGGCACTCAAGAGTCTGAAGATTCACAAGTGCTGGGAAAAAGCATAGTTCAGGGTCAGGCTCTGTAGTCACAAGGTCCTGACCAGGCTCCTGGCTCCATCACTTACAACTTATAGGAGGTAAGTAACTTTGCCACTGTGTCTCAGTTTCCTTATCTGAATAATGGGAATATTAATAGTAGTACCTTCATTCTATGAAGGGGGAGCTGAAAAAATGACAGTAGAACCTCCATAGAGTGGTTTGGAGTTTAAATAATATACATGAAGCATTTACCTGGGGGGCCTAGCATGCAACAAGCACACTCCAACACCAACCCTTGTTACTTTGTCTCACAAGGACAATGTTTGCAACCAGGACGTACAGGAAAATAGGCCTGGTGACTTCTATTAAGGGGCTCCAAGAGGAAGAGGAAGCCCTCCCTGGGCATTTCTGGCAAAGAGCCAGGGCAGGGAAGGGAGGAAGGTTGGAGAAAGGAAGAGAGTTTGGTCCAGGCTTAACAATGTTGGCAGGCTGGAAAAGGAAACAAGGGAGAGGATGTGTCCTTTCTCAACCGCCCCCCTCCACCTCTGACTGACATGGTTAAAAGGCTATCCCTGGGTAGCAGAATTGACAAAAAGCACCGTTGTTGACTGGCTGTCTGGGTCAGGTAGTGTTCAGCCAAACCTGCTCCCAGGAGCGATGCGTGGAGCCCTTCCTCCTCATGTTCGTCCCCTCCCATCTCTGACAGCTGTCCTGGAGCCAACATCAGGGTTTTAGGAACAGAAGCCCTTCTGACCTCCAGCCCAGGGAGGCTGCCAGCTCTCCCACTGCCTGCTGAAACAGCAGCCCCAGCAGCAGCCTACGGGGAAGTCTTGAGTCCTGTTCTCTGAGAAATACTTTTCTTTAGAGGCCTCCTGGGATTTGGCTGTGAGGGAATAAGCTGGGAGAGGAGGGTAGGCAACAGCAGGAAAGAGAAAAACAACGATCTACAGCAATAAACAAGCCTTTCATTATTAAAGAAACCCAACCCACCAAACAAAAACCACATGCCATGATGTCATATGTTCTGATTTATTTATTAACATTTATCAGATGTTCTAAAGCTCTCCCTGGCCTCCTGTTTGCCAAATCAGGGGCCCTCTTCCCTAGGTCAAAAGCCCCTGTCAGCTCACCTAATAAAGAAATCCCCTCTGCTCCCTATCCAGGAAGGGTCGGCCTGGAGGCTGGAGGGCCTGGTCACATGGGAGGGCAGGTGAGGATCCCTGAGGGATGACTTGGTGCCCTCACCATTCCTGAGATGCCCCAGCCCAGGAAGGGCATGGACACAAGCAAGGCTTCTTGTCATTTCTCCTCAGGCCTCAGGATCAGCCCAGCTGGCTCCTGTTGTGCTTTCTCATCATCCTGTCAGGACCACAACTCAGGCTGATGAGCCCACAAGTCAAGCTTTTGCTGGCCTTGCTCACTAGCATAACTGTGCTAGCCCTCTGAACCATGGTGACAGGAATGCTCGTCACCCTGCAAGTCTGAGGAGTAAATGAGCTGCTGGAGCAGGTGCTCTCCCAGGGCCACCTTTGGCTTCACCCAGCCCCAGCCAACTCATTAAATGAAAGACACCGTTTTGCTACAGCCAAGCTCCCCCATCACGTAACAGCTCCTGGTCCCTTTGCCCTGTGGCAGGGAGCCCAGGTGCAGACTCAGAGGTTATTCCGCTGAAGCGCCTCGCACAGGTTCTGGTTGGTGTCGGGCTCCTCTGTCAGCACCTCCACGGTCTCCCACTCCCCAGACCGGCTCGACCTCTTGATGGCATCCACCACACTCTGCATGTACAGCCCATCCTCGAATGAGGCAGCCATGGAGACAGGGGTGCGGTCCCAGGTGCGGCGGTCCCCCTGCCCCTGGAAGGACTGGCGCAATGCCTGCACCATATAGACCATGCCCTTCAGATAGAGCAGTGGGACGTCCTGGGGCCCCTGTTCAGGAAGCCCAGCACCCACTGCCAGCGAGTCCCTTAGTAGCAGCTCTTCTTGTGTGGCCGAGTTCTTCTGTCCGTAAAGGTCAGCTCCCCGGGCAACAAGGCGTCCTGCAGAGCCCACCACCATGACCTCATGCACAAAGGCGCCTGGCATGTTGAAGTTGAGTGTCACTGTGCTACACACACCCCCACCCATGAGCATCTGGAAGAAACAGAAGTCATCACTGGTGACATGTCGGATGCCACGGATGGCAGCGTTCTGCCTCACGAAGGTCTTGAGCAGCCCGTGCACCTTCTCAGCTCTCCGACCGGTCAGGTGGGTCAGCAGGTCCACGATGTAGGTGCCCATGGTGTGCAGGCCCCCACCGCCCATGAGCTCATCACAGATCCAGCCGTAGCTGGGGCTTAGCAGGCTGCCTGAGTAGATGCGGGCATCGCAGATCATCACTGCTCCCACATAGTGCTCTGCGATCAGCTGCTTCATGCGCACGAAGGCAGGCAGGAAGCGCAGCACGTTCCCCACCAGGCTCATCAACTGTGGGTAGTAGCGTGAGGCCGTCACCATCCGGAAGGCATCCACTGATGTTGCTGCCTTCTCGCAAACTACATTCTTCCCAATACCTGAGAATAAGACACAACAGGAAATCTCGAAAGTTCCAAGGAGGAATTTCTAGCATGTAGGCCTGCCCTGAGCATTTTGGACCTGCCAGCCCCCATATCACATGAGCCAATTTCTTAAAATAAATCTCTTACTCTCTCTTTCTAAATATCTGATTGGTTCTATTTCTCTGGAGAACCCTGACTAATACAGGCAGGCTGGAGAGGTAGACATGCTTCATCGACACGTTTCTGTACTATCATGGATTTGTTAGACCATCAGCTTGGGGCAAGAGAATCTTACCTATATAAGGGATGGGCTTTGCACTCTTAGTCATAACTCCAGAAAGGGCTCTAAGATTCCCTGCAGATTGTTCTCTGAAAACAATGGTCCAACAAATTAGAGTAGTCAAAAGGCCAGAAAATGCTCAGCTCCAGTAGGAGGAGTGAAAATATCCTTTCTGTCCTTACTCCGATTCTGGGTACATTGCAGCTGGCATGCACTAAAAGCAAGCAAAACAAAACTAGACAAAGATCAAAGAGAGTGAGCTAGAGGACTAAGCAGCTTCCATATGAGGAAATTGAAGGGATTAATACGGCTCCATGTTTCAAGATGAAAGCTTATGAGAGTATGAGCAGCCACAAGACACCAATACCTGTGGTACTCCTGTAAGCTTGAAGGTGGTTCAAGTAGAGGGAAATCCTATGTTAATACCTTCAAAAGAAAACTTAGAAAGCCCAAGAAGCAGTATGGACTAGACACATACAAAATTTTACAAGTTATAGGAAGATGGAGAAGGGTGAAGACACCCAGCTATTCCACTACTCATTCTACAGACACTGCCCATGGTGGGCAACTCAAACCCCACTACCCCAGTTCTTTCAAGAAGTCACAGGCTTCTTGAGGGAACAAGTTCAAGGTTTGGTAGGAGTGCAGAGAAACTCCCACTGCAGATGGCAAGACCAGGGAAAACTTCACAGGGGAGTGACATCTTAAAGGACATAAGGGGGAAAGGGCATCCAGACAGAGGAAACTACATGTGCAAAGGCACTGAGGCAGCAGAAGGCCAAGTTAGGATTCCTAAAATCCTGGGTGCACACCAGGAAATGGGACTGGAGGGATTACATGGAGCCTAAAAACAATGTGGGAAATTGGATAGGTGGTTGGTAGTATCACTCACAAAGACATTTAAGGTAGAGGGGAAGTTTGGGGGTGGAATCCAAAATTGAGCTCTTGATACTCCCCTCCTCAGGTCTTCCCCATCTCACTCAATGACAACTCTGCTGTCAGTTTCTCAAGCCAGAATCACTGGAGTCACCTCTCATATCCTACTTTCAATCTTAGTAAATCTTGTTGGCTTAGCCTTCAAAGTATATCCCAAATCTAACCAGCTGCCACCTTCTGTCCAAGTCACCACCGTTTTTTGCCTGGATCATAGCAATAGTCACTTAATTTGTTTCCCTGCTTCTTTCCTTGCCTCCCTAAGTCTCTTCACAACAGCAGCCAGGGTAATTCTGTTAAAACTTAAGATGGAGGCCAAGCACAGTAGCTCACGCCTATAATCCCAGAACTTTGGGAGGCCAAAGTGAGAGGATCGCTTGAAGTCAGAAGTTTGAGACCAGCCTGAGCAACATAGCAAGATCCTGTCTCAAAAAAAAAAAAAAATTAGCCAGGTGTGGTGGTGCGCACCTGTAGTCCCAGCTACTTGGGAGGCTGAAGCAGGAGGATCACTTGAGCCCTCAAGTTCGAGGCTACAGTGAGCTATGATCATGACACTGCACTCTAGCCTGGATGACAGAGTGAGACACTGTCTCAAAATAAACAAAACAAAAACAAACCTCAAAAAATCCTCCAATGGCTCATCTCATTCAGAATAAAAAGTCTTTACAGTGGCTCACCCATTAGGCCTTGATGCATGATCTGTTTGCCCATCCAAAATTTTCTTTTTGATTTTTTTGCCTACTTCTGCTCATTCTGCTCTAGCCACTGACTGCAAGATGGGACCTGTTGTGCAGGAGGCCCTGGTGGTTGGGGAGAAGCAACGACCACTAAACAATGGAGGACAGAGAAGGCAGTGCTGAGCCTCATCAACATGGTCAGGACACACAGTCTTAGTCTGGATTAACTTGTGTGTTTAGCCGGGGCCACCCAGGCTCCACTCTGGCACTCCACGGTGCTTCCTGCTTGGAGGGGCCTGGAAGTCAGACTGTGCCTTCTTTATGCATGCACATCTCCAATAATCCTGGTGCTCATTTCCCCCAGTCCCCTGAATGTTTTCTTAGTGTTTTTCAGATGGGGCAGTGTACTGAGCACTGATGGCTCACTGTAGGGTGCAGCTTGTCCTGATGGGCTGCAATGGATGGTGTTCACACAGGCTCTGGAGGGGAACTCATCTGGCTAACTCGCAGCAGAAACAATGGTAACCACAGACAATAAATCTTGCAACAAAAAAATTAGAAAACTGTACAAACGACTGACCTCCCACATGATGAATGGGCCCCAGGACAGCTGACCCAGGAAGAACCAATTACTGGTGCTGAACTCAAGCTTTGGAGCCAGAAATTTCTGTATTCAAATCCTGGTTCTTTCACTTCATTATTAAATGGCCTGGGAAATTTCTAAATCTCTCTGGCTTTTTGTTTACTATAAAATGGAATTTTACAGTTACAGGGAAGAAGGGAAGACTAAATTAACCAAAGGAGTGTATATATAAAGTGGCCCAGCACAGCTCTGTCAACGGTACATTTTATTACCACCACCATGGGAGGGACTGAGCTGGTATCATGAAAAAGAGTGCATTGTGATTTGAATTTTAAGACTCACACAGAAGCTACATTTTCCAGGCAAATAATTTCTATGTTGCGTATTTCAAAAATTTCACTTCTGAAAAAGATGTTTTAAAATCAATGTGAACAAAGATGAGTTTTCTTATTATATGTACTGTTTATTAGGCTTCTCATAGAGCCAGGCCCAACATAGCCATTTGGAAGCTCACATCCTGACAAAGCCCACAGGAGGTAAGTTGGTACCTTTGGTTAATCTTTCCAGCTCCTCTTACTTCCTATTTCCACTCTTGCCACCTTGACTCTGAAGAATCCCAAAGAGTATCTGCCATTTGCACATATGGACATCTCAGGCCTGAACTACTAGGATTATGAACCTCAGTGCTATAGCAAGAAGTAAGGCATGTGGACCAGTAGTCTATGATATCACTCAAATTCTTCAATTTATGACACTCTTCAATCTCCTCCTCCTACTAACAACGGAAGCCTTACAACAGGTGCTGGTAGCACAACAGGAGAATAACCAGCCAAGTGTCACATGCCCAGGGCAGGGTGGCCAGGCCCTTGTACAGAGGCCTGGCAGAAGGGGCTGTGCAAGAGAATAGCCCCTGACTGCTAACACTACTGCTTCTGGAGGGTCTCCAGTGTGTCCCCACACCTGTGGGATTTCCAGATTAGGGACAGGAGGATCACAATTCTGGGGGAGAAATCTGCTATTTGGTTGCTGAACACATATGGCTGACCAGGGAGGGAGGTAATGAGGAAATTAGCCTCTCAGACATAAACACCCCATCTGAGAGCTACACGTCTGGCCAACCCAGAAGCTTCCTGCTGTAACAACTCACTATTGGGGTTGGGTGGACACTACAGAGGAGGAGGGTTGAAAGGAAAGGGACTTTTATGACGGCCAGGAGTTTGGGGGTGATAAAACTAGGATAAGCCATCCCTATTTTGTGTCAGGAGAGGTCAGGGAAGGGGGAGAGACCTCCCTCTTCAGCTCAAACAACAGTAGAGCTTTTAAACTTAGGACCCAGTAGTACTATCAGTGTGGGAATTAAAGGCCATCTTGGGTTAAACAGGATCCTGGAGGCCAGCTGCACAGGGTCTTTGGGTTGCCTTGAAGGACACATTTATCTAAGTTTATCTAGCTTTCCTGCTAGGAAGTTAGAGTAGAGATTAGAGAAGCTGAAAACTGCTTTTTGCCTCCAGGGAATGGGAGAGATGGTTGCTGAGTGCTTTTTAGCTTAGATTTTTTGGAGGGTAAACAGTTTCAAGTTGCAAACCTCTCTCTAGCTCACACTCCCCAGATTACCCAGGAGTGCTTTGTCCTTGAACAATGCCCAGGGAAGCTACCCCAAGGCTGCTGCAGACCACTTCTCTGTTCTCTAGTAACACACCCCAGGGGCCAGGTTCATAGCTCTGGGCCTAGGAACACCCCTGTTTCCCCATCTAGAGGCCCGGGACTAGATAAATGATTTCAAACAGCAGCAGGGTGGAGAAGCAGCCCAAGAAGAGTACAACATTTATGTTTTTAAAAATCTTGGGAGTCTATTTTTTTTTTTTTAATGAAAAAGTTTCTGCTACTAGAAAAGTAAGTTTGAAAGCCACTAGACTCTATCACTCTTGCCCATAGCCCAATCTCCACTCTGTCTGGGTTGCAGGGCCATGTGAGCTCCCTGGCTCACACCAGCAGACTGGGCTGCATGAGTAGAGTTTGTGAATGGCTCATTTGACCAGTGTGCCAGGCCCTGTGCCAAGCACTGGGGGTACAACATCAGGCATGGTCTCAATCTTCAGAGAACTTAGTGTTTAGTCCATGGGTTCAAATTATCATACAAATAAATGTAGAACTGTACTTGTGATCAATGCAATGAAGATGACATAAATGGTGGGATGAGAGGATGTAACAGGATCTGACCTGGACTGGGTGTCAGGGAAGGCTTCCCAAGGGCCTGGTCCTCCTGGGATTAAATTATCTGGGTCAGGTAGCTTCAGGAGTGACCTTTTGTTTTTTTTTTTTTTTGAGACAGAGTGTCACTGTGATGCCCGGGGCTAGAGTGCCATGGCGTCATCCTAGCTCACAGCAACCTCAAAGTCCTGGGCTCAAGCGATCCTCCTGCCTCAGCCTCCCGAGTAGCTGGGACTACAGGCATGCGCCACCGTGCCCGGCTAGTTTTTTCTATATATTTTTAGTTGTCCAATTAATTTCTTTCTATTTTTAGTAGAGACGGGGTCTCGCT